AATTAAAAATACAAGATTATAGTTCTTTGAAAAAGAATAACATTTCAGTTCACTTCAAACAAATGCCAAATGAAAGGTGGTCGTGCATCTTTGTTCCGTAAATGGGAATTTGCAGAGGGGGGAGTTTCCAAGTGTGAAAAACTCTAGTGCCAAAAAGTAGAGAAGATGAAAGAGTTTAAAAAGTAGTAGGCATATAATAGCCTACTACAATGTTCAAAGTATAAGAACTGGTAGTCATCACCCAATATGTAGAGTTTAATCTGACAACATATTTGAAGCATATTAATCCTTTAAAATGTCAAAGGAGAGATAAATGACAAAATAAGATTGATTTTAATAATTAAATTCATTGTTCTCTAACAGGTATACCCTTAAATTTTTTTCCTCTGGATTTAGCTGGCAAAAAGCAATAGCTACCAAGCCAGTCCAGCAAAGTTTTGAAATAATTAATTAAGCAATTTTTAGAAAAGCATCTTTATCCCTCATACAAATTGCAAGCAGTGTTGTGGTTTTGCTTGTATGTGTATGAGTGGGAAAGAAAAAGTAGGAAATTTAATTTACTTATATAGGATTCTCAATATAGATCTACTTTACAAATAATTGCACAATCTTCTGCTTTGCTTTGCAGACAAAATGTATATTTGAATCAACTATTTTATAAATATAGTACACAAAATAACTAATTTGTAAAATTTTTTAATGTGTTTACACGTGTTAAATTCAGAACTTGAAGAGAAATTTCACTAGGATAAAAATGTTTTGGAGATTAAAATATGTAGGAGATAAGTACATTGTGCTAAATCTTCTATCCCCTGCAAAAACATTTCCTTTCATTCTAACATAATATTTTGTGTCTCCCATTTTTTCACATGAGAAGCTTTAAAGGCTCAGACTTTGCTATCCACTTTGAGAGCAAGGAGCTACATCTGGTGATTATGAAAATGCATTCTATCCAAATATATGTTTCTTTAATTAAATAGTATCTAGGAGGATTTCAGATTTCAACATTGAAGCATGTGTTAATATTGATGACTAGTATTTTCTTATTTTTGGCAAAGCTTCTGAAGTCATATTTTTCTAGAAGTTTAACTAAAGCTTTAAAAATATTAGAAATTAAAATATTTAGTTCTCTTTGAGAAACCATGATTAGTTGATAATATGAAATTTACAGTGGCACAAACATTGCAAGTATAACATGCTTGCAAGTGTTATTCTGAAAGTCCCATTTTTATTCATAATGAACACATGAAAGCTATTGAGTTCGTGTGGCCAGATTATATGAAATCATTATTTAATTCTATAAAATTAGATATCTTGTTGTTTTGTATGACATTTCCAGAAATATGTTTTCACATTTATTCATGCATTTTTTCTACACTCAGTCTCTACTTTTGAATTTATATTTTTGAAGATGTTGAAATATTGGAGAGAAGACTTTACAATGTTTCCTCACTAGATGATAGGAAATTGTTTTCTTTTCATATCTAGTTAGTATGAATAATTTTGTATATATATTTAAACTTAAGCACAGACACATTGATGCACATTCCTGGAGTTGAAAATTTCATCGTTCACCAATCTCACTTAGGCCAGTGGTGGAGATTATTCTTGACATGTCTTTTTACCACTTAAATAGCTTAGATATGTGTTTTGTCAACTTTTCTGGCTATCCCTAAATGCAAATACATTTGACATTGCAACTGTATACACACATCCACCCCACACATGGGAGACGGGGACGTTTTATGTGTGAAGGGTTGTATGTGCATATTTATACGTGCCTATTTGTATAGGCATATTACATATATTACAAAAATATCTGCATATATATAATTGAAATAAAATTGCAGAAAACAATCTTTATCGCATGCACTCTAGTAGTTTGTATTTTATTATATGCCATTCTTTTACGTTAAAAAAAATGTGTTTCTCAACACATATAATTAAGTTCCTGATCCGCTAATGGGATACAGCCTACAGCTGGAAGAACATTGGCTTAGGTAATGGCAGTATAAACCACATATTGTCAAACGAAAGATGCCTTTCTGCTGCGGCCACCAAAGCACTCTGTCCACCTGACACCAACATGGGAGTGTGTTGCTGAACTACGTATAAGTCAGCATTGAGGCAACGTAGCCAAAATGGATTCGCCTTCATTTATAGGAGAGTGGTCTGAGTTTCATTCAGCCAGGATTAATTGTATTACCACTATATAACTAAACATAACTGCACCTTATTTGCTGGAAGGGTACTAAAGTTTTGGATAGGAGGTAAATAAAAAAACAAATGATATTATTTTGGAAAATTGATAAATACTGTCTAAATTTTATGTGGAACAATGTATGTTCATGATTAATCAAGAAAATAATGGCAAAAATATGTAGTGAGTAGAGTCTTGCTCTTGGGAATATCTAAAATTACTAGGAAGGTATATTGTCCACCAGGAAATACTGTTCAATGAATAAGCAAGGTTAAGAACAGTCTGTAAGGGATGCTATCCTCTGTGTAACAGAATGGGAAAACATATGTACGTACATACATACATGTTGTCTTTTCTTGGCAAAAAGAAACTCTGAAGACATTAATCAAAAGCTAAAAACAGGAACAGCAATGCTGAGGATAGGGATCAGAATGAACTTCTCTAAATATGTATTTTCTCATAAGTTTAACTCTGATAATCACATAAATGTTTTACATTTTCAAAAAAGAAAATTAAAAAGAAAAAAGCATATAGTATATTCAGGATAAAGCAAATATCTTAATATAATAAATATATTTATATTTAAGCAAATATAAATATTAAGACCACTAGAAACCAAGATTTTAATGGAAGTTATTAGTTTGAAGTCAAAGGAATAAATTTAAAACCCTAGTGATGTTAAATTAGGTTTGAAAATAGCACTATAAACTGATTTTTTTCCTAAAAATATGTACCGACATCTTTTGCTTAACATCAATAATCTATTTCCAAAAATATAAATTGCAAGCATGTTTTTTATTGTTTTAAATGGCAAGAATTATAAAGCATTGTTATGTAAAACCCAAATATAACTAATTTCCTACAAAATAAGACAGTAATACCTATAGAAAAGAAACATACTATCTTGATAGGATCTAAAATGCTCAAACGTTGTTTCCTTGATCATCCAGCAATTATTATGTTATTAACACACAGTTGCTTCACATGTGGTTACATGAACTGTTTGCATGCTGGCTGAGAAATTGTTGGCTTACAATATGGTACAGCAAATAACACACAGCAATCAAAAATAAAATAAATTCAAGAAAACTTCCCATAATAGACTTTTTTCCCCAAGCTAAAGGAGACAGGACCCGTGAAGAAGGTTAGGAAGGGCGGAGGGGGAGGGATAAAGCGCTCATTGCCCTTGGCAAATGCTGATGGTGTGGATGCAGGTTAAGGGTCAGTTTTAGGCGAGGTATCCCATTGTCAGGAAGGAATAGAGATTCTCTGTGTCTTGGAGCTGCCGTACAAACTGCTGGACGGGAAAGTTTCAATAAATCCTCAGAGGTGGTGGGCAAGCTAAAGGAAGGAATGGTTACAAAACGCAGATGTGTTTATTCCTGTGTTCAAAAATTCCTTCCCATGGAGCCATGAGAGATATCAGTCTATTTTTCAGAGAAAGGTATATCATCGCATCATCACACTGAGTACCACTCTGTGAAACTTTTCTTAGCGATGCCCAAAGCACATGGCTTGTTTGTTTATACTTTGTGCGCTTTTTAAGATGTCTACATGTGATTATGTTCTACCAGTGTGGAATGTAACTCAACACTCTTCCATCACGTAATGTTTTTTAGAATACTGTGTTAAGTGTTAAGTCTGTAAATAAATATTTCCCCTACACCAACATCTGCTGAAGAATGAGGTAGTGAGGGGTTTATATATACTCTGTAAGTTAGGATATTAAAATCCAAGAATCCTAATGGGTAAACATTAACTACGAGACGATCTGTGGGATACACTTGCATTTTCTACCTCTGCCCCCTGAAAAGGTCTAGAAGTAATGTGATGTGATGGCACTGAACACATCTAATCCAAAATGGTAGCCTCTAGACAAAGAGAATTAGGGCTCCTTGAAGGAATGGTTGATTCTAGATGTGGAGGAGAAAATGAGCAATGAGCTTGTGACATCTGTTCATCTCAGAGGGCAGAGAAGCTGTTAAACTAAAGGGCTCATGTCTTACAGGCACCAACACAAAGGGGTCCCAATTAGCCAACAGTGGGACAGTTGGAGCATCAAAGAAGCAATTGTTGTAGTTGATTGCAGCCCATATGTTCATAATTTTTATTAAAACAAATAAGATAGAAGGAAAGAAGAAAGGAAAAACCAGAACAACAATAAGAAACATGATCTTTGATACCTTTCTGGTGGAGTGTAGCGTGAGAATTTTGTATTAATGGACACTTTATAGTTATGGGCATCTGTGCTTCAGAAATAAGTCAGTAAAGGTACGTGTGTAAAGATATTTCCTGTAGAATTGTTTGAAAAGGCCAAAAATTGGAAGCTACTTTAATAGCTACCAATAGTAGATTAATAAAATAAATAATAGTACATCCATTTTATGGACTACTATGCAACCACTAAAAATAATGGAGTATAACTTTATGAAATGACACATAAAGATGTCTGTAAGATATTGATGAGTGGAAAGAGGAAATTTCAGAGTAATATAAAAGACTTTAGCCCATTTTTGCACAAACTGAAATGATATATGATTATACAAATAAATGTATTTCCTTAAAAAGATAAAAGTTGGAGTGATCTAGGACAATACCACCAGGTCACCTCTGGGATTAGAATTTGGCGTCACCCTTGGACAGGAGTAGTTTGAGAGGGAATTTTCATATTTGATTTTGTATATTCTTACATCATCTTAAATCTTATTTGCAAGCATGTATTAGTACATGTGTAAGAAAAGAGATAACCCCTCCTATGTACCAGTGATACTATTGTCTAACCCGTCTGTCTCTCTCAAAGGTGCCAGGCTGCAAACAAGACCTGCCCCACCAATTACGTTTGGAACAATCGCCACTGCAGATGCCTGGCCCAGCAAGATTTTATTTTTTCCTCTAATGCTGGAGATGGTAAGCACAATCATGTTTCAAAGACTAAATGCCAAAGGTCTCTTTTTTAATTAACAGGTATTTTAATATTAAAATCACATGTATCATATTCAGATCATCATACTTTGAAATAAGTCACAACAAAATAGGACATCTTCTGCTTCATGTTAGTATTATTTTGAACTTCTTTGGAAAGAAGCATACTCATGTTTGTCACAACCCTTTGATAAAAAACATAACAAGAAAGATGCTTTTAAATACTTTTAATTGTTTCACACCACACATAGAGCCAAGTAAGGTATAGTAATGATGTTACAACCGTGTTTGTCTAGACTCTACAGATGGATTCCATGACGTCTGCGGACCCAACAAAGAGCTGGATGAAGAAACCTGTCAATGTGTCTGCAAAGGGGGCCTTCGGCCTTCCAGCTGTGGCCCCCACAAAGAACTAGACAGAAACTCATGCCAGTGTGTCTGTAAAAACAAACTTTTCCCCCACTCGTGTGGGGCCAACAGAGAATTTGATGAAAATACATGCCAATGCATATGTAAAAGAACCTGCCCAAGAAATCAACCCCTAAACCCTGGAAGATGTGCCTGTGAATGTACAGAAAATGCACAGAAATGCCTCTTAAAAGGAAAGAAGTTTCAACATCAAACATGCAGGTAAGAAATCTTCATAAATAAAGTTCATTTCTCCTACTGGAAATAGTTTTCTCAGCCAAAATAGCAATTGCTTGTTAGAATGAGACCAGTAAGTTCTGGCAGACAGATTCTGACATTTTTCAACCAATGCTAAACTTTCGTGAGACTGTATTTGCTCACAAAAAAAGCAGGACAGGACCCTGGGAACCAAAACCAGATCCAAGCTCAGAAAGGGCTCGAAATCCATGTCCCAGAGGCTAAGGAAGTGGTGCTCAACACGAGTTGGAGGACAGATGAATAGGACAGTCACGAGTGGAACATTTTCAAAATACACCCAGGCGGTGCATTCCTGCCCCCACCCAAAATTATGATGCCATCAGATGGAATGTAAGACAGTTATTCCAAGTGCGTAAAACTTTATGCAAACTTTACAAAGGATAGGATAGTGCCATTTACCATAGACTTGTATCTAGAAATGAAAATATTTAAGCTAAGTATTTAATGGAATTAGAGAAATAAGTTAATATGTGGTTACAGGTCACTCCAAGACTTATTCCTTAAACTTTCATTTTTCTCCCTTCTCCACCAAGGAAAACATAAGACTGTTGGACTCAAACACTTTCAGTGTTAATCCCCGAACTTCTTCCCCTATAATCTGAGAATAGAGTGGTCTACATTTTTTTTTTTTTTTTTGAGGACGATTAGCCCTGAGCTAACTACTGCCAATCCTCCTCCTTTTGTTGACGCACTTACCCGCTGCGCCACTGGGCCAGCCCCTAAGGTGGCCAGACCTGTGCTTTTGACATTTCCTCCCACATTCCTTCAACATTGCTCCACCAGTCATGCCTTCTCTCTTCCATACCTTTACTGTCTCCAACTCTATTGTCCTTTCCCCTCAATTTATAAAAGTTCCCAAATTTCTTCTACGTTTTTAGCATCTTACTGTGATGCAGAGCGTACTTTAGCAACCAAGCTCTGTCCTTCTCTGCAAAGTTGCTCCAAGATCAGGCATTTGGGGTTTGTGTTCATCTCTTTCATCTCTCATTCAACCAACTGTCATGTGGTTTGTGCCCTAGAATTCTATGATAAATTTCTGTTTAAGGCATCAGGAGATCTTCAGTGCCAAACGCAATGGACAAGTTGGTCTTTATGTGACCTCTCCTTTCTGTAGCCTTTGTTTAAGCTCTCCTCTCTTTTTTTGGCCAAGAATGTGGTACCTTCCTGCTTGTCCTCTAGTTTTCAGACCTTTTGTTCTTCAACACCTTCGGTGGGTTCTCTTCTTCCATCCACTCTTTAAAGACAGTGATAATGCCTTTCCACAATGATGATGCCCATAACTTAAAACTTACATTTGTTTACAATTCCGTATCTGCATTAATGTTCTTCATTACTTTTTTCCTCAATAAATAGTGTCCTTCCTTTTGATTCTCAAGTGTTTTGTGCTCCCATTTTTATTTGTGTTTCTGGTGATGCATCCACACGAACGTTTTAGCTACTGCATAAAGAAACTTCAGCGAGTCTAGGTAGCTCAGTGATGACATTTTTTCTTCTGTTATCATTTCAGTATACCTTATAGGAATCCTTTGGTTTCCTCTTTAGAATATTTTTAGCAATAAAACTATATTTCAATTTTATTTGCGTACTCCTACTCTAGTTACCAAAAGGATGTTTCAAAAATGCAGAATATAGATAGTAAATTTTATTAAAGATCATTAAACCATTTTGTATATTACGTCCTTCTGAGTGAATCTAGTATATATTGAAAAACCCGAAATTTTTATGTTTACATAAGACTAACCAGCCATCATATTTTTCTACAGAATTCTTATATTAAATCAGAAAGGTTTATATCATGGTATTTGTCCTAATGGCATACATTGTTTCATAAAGTTTCTATTTACTGAAACTCTCCCGTGGTTCATTTTTCTAGGTGTATAATTCCAGGTTTTATGTATATATTGAAGCAAAAAAAGGACAATTCAATAGTTTGAAAATATGTATACTCCTCATTTTCTCTTAATATTTATTCCAGTGGTGTGGTGGGCAAAGTATATATTCTTTGGTCCGCTGCCTTAATCAGCAGCTTTCATTAATCATTGAGAATTGTATCTTTTTAGTAAAGGAATACCAGTTGTCTTATAATAATGCATTTGTATTTAGAAGTAAAAAAAGTAACATTTTAACTAGATATGCTTTCTTTCTAGAGCAAAAGAAATGAAGTTTCAAAATCACATTGGTAGATTTTCTGTAGTGCACTTTGATTTCCATGTCAGGTCATCTTGCATTTTTCCCTGTGCATCCATGCCCATCCCCACATGTTAGGCATATTCACTCCAAAAAGTTTTTCACAGATACCTCCCATTCATTGAAGCAACAGGGCTACTCATGTTATTGGCTGTCTGGTCATTTGTCCTTTCACCACTACTAGAAACTGGAAGCCTAGGCTAGGAGGAAAGGGACCCTCACAGTGAGTATTGTCGCTCTCCCGCCCTTCCCCTTGACTGTGTTGGTTTCACATGGAGCCCAGGTGGAAAAAGGAGAGTGAGTCACCATCAGGCAGCCAGCTTCTTGCCCAGCAGAGAAACAAGAGGGAGGGTGGGGCTCCTCACTGAGGACCACACTCCTGCCAAAATGGCTGGGTTTAATCACTTCGAAGTCTGGGTTCCATACAAGTTTCAGCCTCTTGTGAATTCTCCCATGCTTACATGATCACACTAAATGGGCAGACCTTATTCACTTTCAAAATTTCTGTTTTATGTTACTTTCATCCACAAAGCGGAGAGCACTTCAAAAGAACTAAGGTTTACGACATCTCCTCCCATTTGTTATATCAGCAAGCAAGACTGTCTTTTAGGTTTTCCATGCCTCTTAAATTGTATAATTCTAAGCACAAACTTTAACAAGTTATAAACCTGAGAACAATTTTATGATAAAATGAGTAACTTTGTTCTAGTTTGAAATTTAGAAAGATGCAAAGATACGTTTGTAGCATCATGAATTCATCCCTTGGTCTTTAACAAAAATGTGTTCTCTTTGTTCTCCTAGTTGTTACAGAAGACCATGTACAAATCGACTGAAGCATTGTGAGCAGGGCCTTTCATTCAGTGAAGAAGTCTGTCGCTGTGTCCCTTCATACTGGAAAAGAACACATATGAACTAAGATCGTACTATGTTTCAGTTTGCCAATTTTCTATCATGGAAAACTGTGTTGCCACGTTAGAACTGTCTTTAAACAGAGAGACCTTTGTGGGATCATGGTAACAAAGGCAAAGTCAGTGTTTCCTGAACCATGTGGACAACTTTACAGAAACAGACTGGAGCTCATCTACAAAAGACCTCTTTCAAAGACTGGTTTTCTGCCAGTGGCCAAACAGCCGAGGTTTTCGTCTTGTGATTAAAAAAAATATATGATTATATAATTTATTTCCACTAAAAATATTGTTTCTGCATTCATTTTTATAGCAATAACAATTGGTAAAGCTCACTGTGATCAATATTTTTATATCATGTAAAATATGTTTAAAATAAAATGAAAATTGTATTATAAGCTAGTAAGTTCAGTCCATTACCATCTTATACTATAAGCAAAACTTGATATTATGAAAACATTCATCTCCCCCTGTCCTTTTTCTTTTTCTCTAACCAGATGTCAGATTTTGATTGCTATGAAAAAGCATGATCCTGTAAAAGAAAGGTTCAGACGGAGAACAGTTGCTACTACATTTTATTTAAATTCCTCTCAGTATATTTAATGGTTATAAACACTATAGTACAGGATACTTTTGAATTTATAACCAGATCGATTAGTATGAAACATATCACCTTGTGAGACATTCTGCTCAGCGTGCCCGTGGACGGAAGGTTATTGAGTGCACCAGGAGCATTCGACCCTTCTCTTGATATAACATCCCTCAGTGTATTAAAATGCCTTTAAAATATTTTACTCAAAAAGAATCTTTTCCAAATATTTGCCTTCTTCTGACCAGCTTGAAGTACTTTTTTATGAGGTTAAGTGCTCCTAATCCAGAACATATAAAATAAACTGGAAATAACATTTTAATGCTCATATATCTTAAAAAGGGAACATTTCAGTCACATAATTAAAGTACTTGTTTTATTTTTAAAAAGCCATCACACTCAGATAGCTTTCTCTCGGGACAAATATTTTGCCTCCATAAATACAACCAAATAAGAGTTTTCTTGTTGACAGAGAATTGATTATTTGCTAGTATAGCAAAGCTACTAGCAAATACATAAAAATAATTAGTCCTGAAAGGAGAAAAAAATTTTCTAGAGTTGTGTAATGTCTCTTAAGGCTTGAAAATTTAATATAACAAAATCAATTTAAAATGCTATAGATGACTATTCTGTGCAATACAAAATATTAGTTTCTATATGTTTTGCTATAAAATAACATTTTCTTCAAATATATTTAATTAGAAGATAGATACCCTAAAAATACCCTGAGTTTTTTTAATACTGACTTTTATAACAATGTCACATGCAACATTTATTGAATTCCAATTATGTGCTCTGCACAACTTTAACATCTAGTTCATAAAGTAAGATTTTTCATGTATTGGGGGGAAAAGGTATCTTCTGAAATTCTCTCATTATACATTTATGGACCATCTTCCTACTAGTAAGGATGCCTCTGAAGCCTTTTAGGCAGAAAATATATGCATTGTACATTCTATGTACCAGCTAAGTTCTAGGTAATTTCCAAACTTGAGAACAGCAAAATAAAAATAAATAAATAGAAGAAAAAAAAGTAAATTTGACAACAGCTATAGTTTTATCAAAATATCTCCAAGAGGGTAAATTCAGAGGTGATTACAAAAGGAAAGGTGGAATGAAAATAAATAAGATCTTTACACCTGCTGGAGAAGCACAATTCCTACTGCATAATGATCAGCATCTCTGAAATCCAGCTGAGATTCAATTTAATCATTGTTCATCGCCTTTGAGCTGTGAATGTAAGCAGACAAACCTTATGTAATCTGTTATGTTGATCTGGTCGATCAGTTTTGGTGTTGATACTTTTAAAATATATTAATCTTTTAGCTAAGTTAGGGGAAAAAATCTATTCTATGCTTCAAATGAGCCCCCAAGGCCATGTAAAGAACATTAGAACCTGATAGAACGACTGTTATAAATTATCGTCTTGAAAAAAAATCCAAACTATGTGTTGACAATTAGTTTCTCAGGATATATGAGTGAGCCAAAAAAATCACTAGACCAAAAATTAAAGCCTGAAGCATGCCCGAAAAATAACATTTAATTTGTCCCTAGAGGTGCAGTAATTTTGATCAAAAGCAAGAGTAACATGGGCAAAGACAATACGTTGCCAAAGATACTTGCAAATGATTTTATGTGGACCATAAAAATCTTACTTCATTACACTAAAATAATTGAGATTTTTGTGGTGGCAGTTAAGAAGATGGACCAGAGATAAAGCTACATAATTATTTAGAAATTTAGCAAATATGATTCAGCAAAAATCTACAAACTACAATGAGAATGTTCGTAAACTCTGCAAGAGTGTTGAGATACCAATCCACTCAATCTAAAGGATAAAGATGAGAAAACACTGGAAGCTTGCAGCCACAGTTCACATATCCAAATCTTGGAAAGTTTATAAACAGAATTTTATGGCTAGAAACCTAACACTGTAAACTCAGTTTGAAAGACTCTAGGAAAAAAATATTTTGGTAAGCAAGGGAATAAGAATTAGCTTCCAGATTTTTGTTGTTGTTGTTTGCTTTTGGAAGTGGGTTTTAACTCTTGCTAACTGCTTGAGTTAAACAGATTCCATTATTAAAATTTCCAAAAATAAGCTTTGTACTGCATAGCCATGCTACTCAAAATGGAAAGTCGGCATTCACTGGCATACCCAGAGACCTCTTCTTTAAGAGAAGGAGAAAAGGTCACACACTGACCTCCCTGTAGTCTAGGCTTTCTCTGGGGCTACTGTGCTCTGGAAGAATTTTACCCAAGGAGTGAGAGAAAAGAAGCAGACACACAGGTGAGAGAGTTCATATTACAGCAGTTTTAGCAGATTGCCAAAGTTGATGAAACTCCTTACATGGTTAAGGTCCCATCTTCACCTACGTAGGAAATGCTGGGGTGAAGAGCCAGACAGAGGTCTCCTGGCCCACACTTTACCTACCTTACTACACTGTCCCCCAAGATCTGAGCTTTCATTAGCAGATTTTTCAAAGGATGCTTTTTTAGGGACATTACCTTTTGGACTGAAAATGAGAATGACATAAAAATAGGATTTCACTCCACTACAGTAGAAGAAGGAGTGTTAACGTGTTTGATTTTTATATAGATGAAATTCTAGGAAGTTATGAATAAATCCACTCATTGTGTCTTAAAAATGGGTATACTACTCCCAGAGAACTTTTTAAGGAAGTCGATAACACATACTTTATAAAGTATTAGTTTATCTGTTCATGTGCAAATTTTTGGTATATTGGATATTTTTTAGGTGGGGAATAACTATGTTACCTTGTGGAAGTGTAAATGGGCTTCAATAGTTTGAAAAATATTTTAAAACCAAAGTTTCACGTGCTCTTTTCTCTCTGTCCCATTGCTAACAACTCATTGCTTAAGAAAGCATTCTCTAATGGAAGGAGCACTGGATTGCGAATTATAAAGCAGGGTTTTAATCCTGACTTTTCTGCTGTGTCGCCTGAGCAAATCACCAAAACCCTCTGAGTCTCAGTTTCTTAATCTGTGAAAGGAGGGTGTTGAATTAAAAGTGTGTATAACCTCCCACCTCTGAAGTTACAAAGTTTGTTAGTAAACTAAACATGGAGGTGGGAAAAAGAGAAAGAACATTTCTAAGAACTTCAGGGAAGCCCCATTCTTGAGATTAGGGGCCCCATTAAGAGGAAATATTAATCTTTTAAAAATGTTTCATGTCAGAAATTACAAATGAAAAATCCATCTCCTTTATAATTCTACTTCTTAAATTCTAGCCAATTTCGACAGCTCAAAGCATTGAAATCATATCAAAGGTGGTCCCACATGGAATTTTGGAAAATTTATTTCAACTGCAGAAAAAGTAAATATCTTGAAAAATAAAACCAAGCAGCTTTCACAAGAAAGCAGACTTCTCGTGCACTGCTTCCAAACCTCAGTCCGATGCATACACACGGGCAAGGGCATTAAAGCAGAAACTGACTTCTAATGCTGTTACCGTCTGGAATTCTGATAGGATTGGATTAGATATTGCACCTGCCCCGTCAGGCTGTGGCATCTACGTTTGTAAGTACAGAGGGCAAAATACTCGACGCTGCCTGTGGACTTACCCACCAGGACTGATTATTTATCAGGCTTGATGAGACGTGACTGTCCACGCAGACAGCAATAACTGTCTTGATTTGACAGAAATGGTTGTGAGACACTATTAAAAACGTCTTTTACGTCCACTAAATAATGACTAGCTAGCTGGATAAGAAAGAATTCAAAATTGTCTCAATCAGAAATACTTAAGGTTACAAATAAAATTTATAGATACTTTTAAAAGGAGAAAAATATTCATTTGTATTCAACACACACTACGTTATATGACTTTATAGCAATATCAATAGTGTGTTGTTGAACGTGGAATTTTTTTATCATTTTAAGACAGCTGCACATATTCTTGATCTCTTTAAAAATTAATTTTCCTTATATTTAAATGTCTATATTTAAATCCAGTAGGAATTTTTTTGAGAATATTATTGCATCTCCAAAAATGTAACTATGTAGCTGACATGTTCGTTCAGAGTAAAACAACCACCTTTTCTTCAGTACAGTGTCTTATCTTTAAAAATTTGCCGTCGAGACTTCACAGAGCGCTTCCTAATGTGTAAGCAATGAGTCCTTTAACACGCCCCATTCTTTGTACTTCATATTTCCCTTCTGTGACAATTTGCTTTTTTCAAGGCACGACATTTTTCTCTTTATTCCCTCATCATCCTAAACAATGAACTTTAACCGCTGATTCTTTCTTTCCTTATTCCCATCCTCTGATATTTTTACTCCACAATATTGTTGGCAGTCGCTGCCCAATGATAGGCTATTACAGAAGGGAGAAAGCACAATGGCAATCAGATAAGATTCGGGTAAGTCAGATGAAATATTCCCAGCTTCCTCTGAATCTATCCCAGGTTTGGATTGACAGACTGATATCCATTTTAAGATAGTTTCTCTTAATTTTGGTGGTATTTCTGAAAGCCATGTTCATCACAGAGCACAGAGTAAATAAAGAATCATAGACTAGCATTTGAAATTGCTAACGAGAGGGAGATATAGGCAGGGAGAAAGGAAATGAAGAAAAGGTGAAATCAGGAAGAAAGGACAGGAAAAAAGACCGAGAAAGGGTCTGAAAGGGAAATAAGAAAAAATCAGGCACTTGAGAGTTTTAAGAAAAGAATGAAGATG